ACCCGTAAACCGTTAAAATCGAACTGTTTTCGAATCGCAACCTGTTTAAACTTATCCAATTACAAACAGCATAATTCAAATTGAATTATTTACAACCTAAATGGCTAAATAGTAAATACAATTAAATAATTAATGTTAATAAATGTAGATCTAATCAAACGGCTTAGGTTTATACAAAGGTTTATATCACCTAGATCTAGGCCAACGACATTATTAATATCGTTTTAGATTACTTATTTATTTTAATTACAAGATATATCATTTGTATCTTTTCATTCCAGTAATAAAGTCCACCCAAATTATCTTCATTGTTCCTTGATATTCATGATCATCCAATAAGATAACATAAGATTGGAGATAAATAACATTAAAATTAGAGTAATATCAACAAGCAATTAAAAAAAGTCACCATTTTCATTGATTAAAATTCACAATACATATACCAATACATAATGAAACTACTATCACTACTACCCAGATTAGATTTCAGATTTATCAACTGAAACATCATCAAGTTTAGGGTTGCAAAAAATGATACATGATAAGATGAAGGGAGGAGTGAGAATGTGAGTGATTTGGGAGCAGAATCTTGAAGCAGAATCTTGAAGCGGCAGCCCAGCACCCAAGAGCAGAGGAAATAGCAGCAACAAGCAGGAACCAGCACACGCAATAACAGATCAGCAACTTATCCGAAGCAAGGAATAATATAAGCAGAAGGGACTCAGCAGGAACTTATTTTTGTTTTTCAAAATTGCTCTCAGATTTACGTTTATCGTATCATCACTGAGCAATGGCTGTTTAAAATTTAAAATTTTAGACCTAAGAGACCAACTGTTATCAACATAATGAGCAGTCAAAGTGAGATAGCCTCGGTTAGTACATGCAGTCCACAAGTCACATGTAAAGCTAACTCTACCAGAAACATTAGCCAAAGACTCAAGCAACAAGGATTTATATTTATCATGCTCAGCAATAACATATTTTAACATAGTTTTTCTACAAACATGCTACACCTTAGGATTCAAATATGCATGAAGTTCCCTAAGATATTCATGCTCTACAATATTTAAAGGATATGCATGGCAGATTATAGCTTTAGCAAACTTTTGTAAATAAGTTTTTTGATCAAATTGTGATTCGTTACCGGACTGGAGACCATGCTTTTCCAAACATGCATTAATATGAGCTCTACAAGTTGAAGTACCCGCTTTACCAGGTGCTTTATATTCTTTGCCACACAAATTACAACGAGCATAATCTACATTTTCATTACCTATCGTCTTTACAAAAAAAGTGTAATGCTTCCATATACCTGCGGTTCTTTGACGTTTATTAACAGAAGGATTGATAGTGTCGGTATTACTAGCATCATCAACTGAGACAGAGGCAGCTTGAGAGCTAACAGTATCAAAATTTGATTGCCTCTCATAGTCAAATTCATCATACTCGCGAGACATGACTGAAACAAAAAAAAACAGCATTTATAACTTATAAGTACCAAATTAAGTGACAGATTCTACTAATAGTGAGCAATTAAGCATGCATTGTCTCATGTGACTGACACTGAAGTCACGACAGTGAATCCTATTCACTCAATACCAAAATTCAACTAAATAGATAGTTCATATTTCAGAATTTTATTTGCACTAGTCAATGTTTCAAAATTCAGAATTATACAACAAACGTGATTACAACATATATCCTAACAGAATATAGAAAGTTATATACGATACAGTCACATATGTGTACATTTTAAGTACTAACTTTAAGCCAATCATATACAATGCTTGTATTCCAACAATATGGGTTAAAATATAAAGCTAAAATCTCAATAAATAAACAATGCATGTATTCCAACAATAATAATCACATAATCTGAACAACCCATCATCATTACTTTTAAATCGAGCATAATAAACAACAAAACAGCACAAATCTACCATTTTCCCGTAAAAAACAAAAATACAATCAACAACAGATTTTACTCATTTTAGGCATATTTCGACTATATTCAAGCAAGAACAATAACAATAATCAAATACAAAAACAGAAAAACTGTATTAAAAAAAAAAAAGGAAAAAGTAATTACCTTTGACGGCTTGAAGGAGATTTGAAGATGGAGAACTACCTGAACTGGAGATCAAAAGGAAAAATCAAGAATGTAGATTATCAGAACTTGAAATAAAAAAAAAAACCGAAACGAAAACGAAAAAAATCGAATAAATTAACAAAAAATTACCTTAGGGTTTGACGGCTTGAAGGAGAGGAAGATTTGAAATCAGAAATCAGAAATCAGAACTTAGATCCAAAACAAAAATGAAACGAAAACAAAAACCCTAAATAAACAAACCGAAACAAAAACGAAAAAAATCAAAACGAAAACAACAAAAATTAACAAAAAAACGAGAATGTAAAGCGAGAAATCAGAAATGTAGATCCAAAACACAAATGAAACGAAAACAAAAACCCTAAATAAACAAACCGGAACAAAAACGAAAAAAATCAAAACGAAAACAACAAAAATTAACAAAAAAACGAGAATGTAAAGCTAGAAATCAGAAATGTAGATCCAAAACACAAATGAAACGAAATTGAGCTTGAGATTCTTGAGAATTTCAGAACGAAAGAGTGAGAAACTGAGAAGTTAGAGAGAGAAACTATGACAGATTGTGAGATTGAGAGAGAAACGGCTGAATGAGTGAATGAGAATGGCTGAGTGAGTGAGAGTGGGTTTTTTTTCTAGGTTTAGGTTTTACTTCAGTTGATCTAACCGTCCATATTCAATCTCAACATCTAAGTTAGATCTAACCGTTCATTTTTTTTTTTGTAGATTCTAGAATATTCATCTAGATCTAACGGTCTAGATTTTCTTTGTGCTTTTCTAGGTCTTTTTGACCGTTTTTTTAATTATTTATTATTATTATTATTATTATTATTATTGTTAGTATAATTATTTGTTAATATTATTATTATTACTAGTTTACTACTACTATTATTATAATATTATTATAATTATTATTATTATTACTATTATTATTATTATTATTATTATTATTATTAGTTTATTACTTATAAGTTATAAATTGTAAGAAACGCAAATGTTTCAAAATTGAAATTGATTCAATACGACATAGTTAATGACTTAATGAGTTAATGGCTTAATGCTCATCAATATGACAATATCTGACATCTGTGAGTCTGTGATTGTATATCAGTATATATAATAAACTATAAAACTAATAATAACTTAATAAGTAATAATACTAATAACTAATAAAGTAATGAAAATCTAACCATTGTTTTTCATGGGCATTCAATCTAACCGTTGTATATTTGACTATTCGTACATTAGTATTGCATAATGCTTTCATCACCACTTTAATTAGTGATTTCGTGATTTCGTCCATTTAACTTATTAAGTTGTTTGAGTTAGTAATCTAAATAAAGTAACAAACTAAATAACGAATCCATTTAATCTCGTGTAAGTTATAATTTATAAGAAATGCAATGTTTGGAAATGGAAATTGATTCAATACGATATTGTTAATGTATATGTAATTATATTATTATGTATATGATGTATATCATATCGTACGAATGTACGGTTGGTATCATTATCATACTATCATAAGTATCATTGCCTCATTGAATTATTGGTATGTACTATAATCGATAAACATATTTAGTTATTTACATATCTGATCATTAAAACTTAAAAGTTTAAAACACTTGTTGATCAATCTAATTGAATACTTGTACATTCTTAATTATCGATTTATCGTATTATAAGTATCAACTCATTAAATCATGGTCATGATTTCGTGATTTCGTCCATTTAACTTATTAAGTTGTTTGAGTTAGTAATCTAAATAAAGTAACAAACTAAATAACGAATCCATTTAATCTCGTGTAAGTTATAATTTATAAGAAATGCAATGTTTGGAAATGGAAATTGATTCAATACGATATTGTTAATGTATATGTAATTATAGATTAATTATTATGTATATCATATCATACGAATGTATGGTTGGTATCATTATCATACTGTCATAAGTATCATTGCCTCATTGAATTATTGGTATGTACTACAAATCTACAATCGATAAACATATTTACATATCTGATTATTAAAACTTAAAAGTTTAAAACACTTGTTGATCAATCTAATTGAATATTTGTACATTCTTAATTATCGATTTATCGTATTATAAGTATCAACTCATTAAATCATGGTTATGACGCGATCTTTAAAACAATCATGAATTCAATTCATGACCCAAACCGCTTATAAACCGAACCGACATGATCCAAACCGTTCATAAACCGAACCAATTGAACTGTGTAAACCCTCTACTAAACCGGCCCATTTCAAACTGAACCAACATGATTCGCACCGTTTATAAACCGAACCGATATTGACCCGGGTAAATCCGCCCCTAAACCGACCCATTTCAAACCAAACCGGCTTGATCCAAACCGTTTGTAAACCGAACTGACATTGACCCGGGTAAACCCGCCCCTTAAACCGACCCGTATCAAACCGAACCGACATAATCCGAATCGTTTATAAACCGACCCGCTTATGACCCAAACCGAATTTAAACCGCAAAGAAATAAACCGAAACCAAACCGAGCCGTGACTAACCCAAACCGAACCAAACCGACCCGCCAGCTAAACTAAACCGTTTCAATCCGAACCGCTCCAAACCGAAACCGACTCAAACCGAGGTCAAACCGAACTGCCAGACCGAAGTCCCACCCCTAATCCCTAACCAATCTTTTTAAATAAATACAATAACAAATCACAATACTATAATACAATATTGCAACTCAAACAAAACAATATTAAATTTCGTCTACATCACTACTCTCAATGAATCGCTCATCAACACGTGTCATTGTGCGCCTACCATGATCCCCAGTACACTGGATATCCCTCGGGAAAACTTATACTCCGTATTACCGTATATAATAAACCGAGCAGGCAGTAGAAGAAAAAGAAGAGAGAGAGGCGTGCCTTCACGATTTCCTTCCCTTAAAAACAGAAAATTGATTAGCTCTTTGCACGTTAATTAAACTACACCCATCACTTTCACTTCCTACTTCTTCCCTCTCTTTTAAACAAATCAATCTTTCTACTTTTTTTCTCCAATTTTCACTCTCTCTTTCTCTCTCTTCAATCTCTCTCTATTTTAATTTTTCTGGGTTTCTCTGTTTTTTTGATCATCCCCTATTTCTGTATACCTTAATTGTTGGATAAAATGAGGACACTTTGCCCTAATTTTGATAGAGAAGATGGGCTTGAAACTGTATTAGAAGTCCCAATTCCTGAAGAAATGTTTCCTTCTGCTAAGAATAAATGGCCTAATATGAAATCTTGGATGAAAACTAACCCAGGTAGAGCTCCTGCCAGTTTACCTTTTGCTGATAGAAATTCTCAAATTCAGCTTCTTCTTGGTGTAATTGGTGCTCCATTGATCCCACTCCCAATTCCTGTTGATCATAAGGTTAACAAATGCATCAAAGATCACCCAATTGTAAGTTTTACAAACCCTTTTGATTGTTTCTCTGTTTTATTTTTCTGGGTTTTCTGGGGTTCTTGTTTTGCCCATTAATTGTTCGATAAAATGCTTCAATGAAAAATAAGATTGTTTACTGATCGTTTTGTGTTCGATGAAATGTTTTACAGGAATCATCAATGGCGAAATACATAATTCATCAGTACATTGCAGCAATGGGAGGAGAGCATGCTTTGAATTCGATTGACAGTATGTATGCTATGGGAAAGGTGAAGATGACTGCATCTGAATTCAGTGCAGGTGAAGGTTTATCGGTGAATAACCCGAAAGCAGATAATAAGGTGGTGAAGGTTAAAGGAGCCAAGAATGGTGGTGAAGTTGGTGGATTTGTTTTATGGCAAAAGAAGCCTGATTTGTGGTGCTTAGAGTTGGTTGTTTCTGGTACTAAGATTAGTGCTGGGAGTGATGGGAAGGTTGCTTGGAGGCAGACACCTTGGCACAACTCCCACGCCTCCCGAGGCCCGCCGCGACCTCTCCGACGTTCATTACAGGTATACTTACACTCCGGTCTCCGGTTACGCCTTTCATCCATTTCATTCTGTTCTTAGTAAGATATGATGCAGTGTCTGTAAGGATATGTATTGAGTATAACTTATCTTAATGGTATGATTTGTTTGATTATGTCCTTTTTAGTGATATTCTGTTCATATTATTACAATGATCATTTACAGTAGTAAATCATATAGTAGTATACATTTTGATTTTATCTAAAGAAAATCTTAATCATGTGATTGCATGCTTTAAAGTGTAATTCTATATCAATTAGTGGGTTATTGACAACCATTGCATGATTGAGATTCTACTCGTTTTTGGCTGTCTTTTGGAATGATTGAAATTATGTAATTATGTGTGTTTCCATTAGAGGCTACTTGATTATTTTGTAATGTCTAAATAATGAACTTTCTAATGATCATTATTAAGATTGATATCCTCTAATATTATTGTTTTCATTTATTAAGATTATCATCATGACAGATTGTTAATTGCTGTTTATTTGTTACCTTAAGCTGTAAACAACCCAATTTACTCTAGGAAACAGGGTTAATTGCAACATTTTCTTTTGCATCATATTCAATTATTCAATCAGCTTTGTTATTGCTTATTGGGTAGTACACTTTTGCTTTGGGCTTGCTTTTGACTTTTAGAACTAACTAAGGCCCTCAAACTCTAGAGTGCTTTTTTAATTCACCAACCAACAGCATTTTCTTCCCTTTCTTTTGAAAATTGGTTGTTGACTAGTCTGAATCTTGAAGGTGAGGAGTTGTGTTCATATATTGAAAGTTGACAAAAGTGTATAATTTATCCTTGATTTGTTTTATCTTTACTCTTACTGTGGATGGTAACTTCATCAAAGCTAATTACATATTTACATCTCGAATGTCATGAACTAATCAGCAAATGGGAATTTTTTGTAGGGTCTTGATCCGAGAATGACAGCAAATCTATTCACTAATGCTCTCTGCATTGGTGAGAAAGTAGTACACGACGAGGATTGCTTCGTGCTAAAGCTAGAAGCCAATCCCTCAACACTTGAAGCAAGGAGCAGCAGCAATGTAGAGATAATCCGCCACACAGTTTGGGGATACTTCAGCCAAAGGACAGGACTTTTGATCCAGTTAGAGGACACTCACCTTCTAAGAATAAAGACTTCGAAGAGTGATAGCATTTTTTGGGAGACCACAATGGAGTCCCATATCCAAGACTACCAAACAATAGATGGTGTTAACATAGCACATGCCGGAAAAACTTCAGTCTCATTGTTTAGATACGGGGAGAACTCCGACAACCATTCAAGAACGCGTATGGAGGAGGTTTGGACCATTGAAGAAGTGGACTTCAACATCAAAGGACTGTCCATGGATTGTTTCTTACCCCCCGCAGACCTAAAGAAAGAGGATGAAGGATTCACGACTGTTGTGCCAAGCACCATAAAACCAACCACTAAAACGCTAAGTGCACCAAAGGCAGCAAACACCAAGGTTAGCACCGCTAAGGTTGCTGCTGTCGATGATCATCATTCAGAGAATCTGGATGGGAGTGAAAGGATGTAAACTCCCAATCCCAACCATCAGTTTTGTGCATCTTTCTGTACATATGAAATTACCCAAGTGAATTGTACAGCCATGACTAACAGGAAATCTAGGACTGCTCAACAAAAGCTGAGCATCACATGTATAGACCTTCCCAACTGATTGACCAAGTTAGTCACGACTGGACATTCGCGTTCCATGATATAGCTATACACAAGTTATAGTTTCCGGTAGAGGACTTTCTTAGAGGCTTGTGTTTTATGGAAGTCTAGGCCTCTCGGAATTTATGTCATGATCTATATATATTTTGATTCACTAATTGATAGCAAATTGTTCTTCAACGTAGAAACATTCAAATGACCCTCATTTTTGTTCATTCTTTCGTGAGAAATAGAAACTGAGATAATTTTTCTATGAAATATTGTCCGTGCACTGTAGCTAACTAAGCAATGCTAGTAATTGACATACTAATAGTAAAATTATAATTGCACAACAAAATAAAAGCCAGTAATTCAGTAAAGCAATACTGTAAGACTCAGCATACCACGTTCAAAGGAAAACAACTTTTATTTTTATCATTTCATCATTGACTAACTCATTACAATTTACAAAAAGGGAGGTATAACTTTTGCCATTATTAGTAGAGCTGTCAATTCGTTTGTATCACATATTCTTAGGTGCGCACTCATGCACCTAGAAATAGGTGTAACAAAAGCACAATATAAACATTAGCTTTCTTCTCCTCTATTTTTCTCCTTCGTTTTTTATTTTCTCTCTCCTCTGTTTTTTTGTTTTTTTTTTTTTTTTTTTTACACTTTTTTGATTGATTTTGTTTCTTGCAACATGAAAGTAGTTATTACGTATGAATTTTTTTTGTGAACTTCGATTTTGTGCTTTATTTTCGATTGATTAAGGTTTTTATATGAATCTTTGAATTCACAAATTATACTCTGTTTTTTCTCCTTCCTTCTTTAATTCCTTTTTCCTCTGTTTTTTTTTTCTATTTTTCTCGTTTTGTTTTGATTTAACGATTGGATCTGTTCCTTACAATATGGAATTGGTTGTTTATCTGATTTTTTGAATTCATATGAATTGATTTTTTTAGCTTTGATCAATTTCATATGTGTTTCATCTGATTTTCTGCATTTTTTTTTATCAATGAACATAATCATGCAAAATATCAACATATGCATAGGTTCTTTGAATATGCGTAAAAAATATGAACATATGCTATTAAGAAAGAGAACATATGCATAAACAGACATAATGAGAATATTTATGAACTACTATGAATATTTACATTATGAACATATTAAATATTATTATGACTAAAAAGCATTTAATTATGAACATAAAAAAATTGAAGAAATAAAAAATAAATATGATTATGAAACATGTGCATCATAAGTATTCAAAATATGAACATATACATTCAAAATCTGAACATATGCATTGGTTCATTTTTTAATGCGTATGAACATAATTAAGCATTTCAGAAGGTGAACATATACATAAGAAATATGAACATATGGATTTAGAAAGTGAATATATGCATTTCAGAAAGTTTACGAAAGGATTCAGTATATGAACATAAGAATTCAAAATATGAACATATGCATTTCAAAATGTGAACATAAGATATCCGTTTGATTTCATTAATTTTTTTTTGACAATTCCAATAAAAAATTTCGAACAATAGAGTATCGAACAATATTCAAACAAAACTAAGTGATAATCATATAAATTCAAACAAAATTAAGTGAAATTTACATAAAATTGCCTTTTTTTTAGGGAGGATCATTTTGATTTTGCATCTCTTCTCTAATGTCCATTGATGTTTTTGCAGTTTTTTAGTGAGATAAAATGAAATAGAGGAGAGAGAAAGTGAAAAAGAGGAGAGAGAAAATCATATAGAAGAAGAAGAGTTTTGAGTTTGGAAGTGACGTTATATTTATTGGGTGTGGGTGGGTGTATTGCAGTTTTCATGTTTTTTAATTTTAGGGCTTTTCTTAATTGGGTTGTGTGTAATTGGGCTTTTGGGCTGTGTGCACAAAGGTGCACCTTAGACTAATTGCGTTTGTATCGGGTTTGGGTCGGGATAGTGTGGGTCGAGTCAACTCGGGTCAGGCCAATTCGTATTAATTCCATAACCTATGCAGGTCGGGTTTGGGTAGGGTCATGCTTGAGTCGGGTCACGTCGGGTCATACTTCTTATCGGGTTTGGGACGGGTTTAGATCGGGTTAATAACAGGTTGGGTTACATTCGGGTCGGGTGACCAATAAGTCGGGTTTAATTCGGGTTTTCACGAGTTAAAACGGGTTAAGGGTAATTCTCGGGTTTGAGTCGGGTTCGGTTCAAGTCAATAATTTGCGGATTATAATCAGGCCCGGTCATTCTCGGGTTCAAGTCAATAATTTGTGGGTTATAATCAGGTGGGGTCATTTCCAAGTCTGGTCATTCTCAGATTCAAGTCGGGTTATGTTCAAGTCAATAAGTTGCAGGTTACAATCAGGTCGGGTCATTTCCAAGTCAGGTCATATCCGGGTTCAACTAACTATAAATAGATAATTATCATTTTTATCAAGCTAATTATTTCCTTTGGCTATAATATATATGGCAACATACTAGGGAACTATAGTCTATAATTTAGGAAGATAATTATCTCCTTTGACCATACAAAAAATATATACTATATTTAACTCTTAAATTTGAGGATGGTGCTCCTTTCTTTTATTTGTTTAACTGGACCGACTAGGTCTCCCTAGACAAATGCTTTGATCAACAATAATAAGGTGGTCTAAATTAATTTGGGTTAAATTTCGGTCGAGTCAATAACTAGTCGTGTTAATTTCGAGTTGGGTTAGTAACGGATCAGGTTGAATTTTTGGCTCGAAAAGTAATAGGTCTGGTAAAATTCGGGTCGGGTCAATAACAAGTCGGGTTGAATTTGGTTCAGGTCAATAACAAGTCGGGTTGATTTCGGGTCGGGTTTGTAACAGGTTGGGTTAAATTTGGATCGGGTTAAGAACGGATCGGGTTGAATTTAGGTCAGGTTAGTAACAAGTTGGGTTAAATTAGGGTTTTGACAGGTTAAAATGGGTTTGATTGGGTTAATTTCAGTTCAAGTTGGGTTCGGTGTAAGTTAATTAAATTGGCCGTTGTAAACCGGTAAATCGGGGCAAGTTGTAAACCGGTAAATTGGCCGTTTAAAAGCAAATTGGACGGTTCCACACACCCAATTGGACTCCCAGAGGGTATTAAGGACTATGGTAAATATTTCGGCAATTTTTATTTCAAGACAAAAAAGAAAGTAAAAAAAATCCAAAATTGAAGGCTTATCCACGCTTTTTGAGAAATTTTAGAGGTTTAAAAGGCTCGGTGTCGAAAAGTCTTGAAATTCTATGGGATACATCTCGGGGTCATATAATGTCGTATGGAACCATATATGATAATTATTTGTTGTCATAAATGTTCGTGGTAGGCTTGAATAAATGAAATCAGTGCAAGTTGTAAACCGATAATTTGATCGTTAAAAGGCAAATTAGATGGTTCCACCCACCCAATTTGACTTCCTGAGGGTATGAGGGACATTGGAAAACATTTAGGCAATTTTTATTTCTAGGCGAAAAAAGTCAAAAAATTTCAATATTGAAGGCTAATATCCGGGCTTTTTGAGAAATTTTGGAGATTTCGGGGCCCGGTGTAGAAAAGTCTTGATATTATATGGGATATATCTCAGGGTCATATAATGCCGTTTGGAACCATATATGATCATTATATGTTGTCATAAATGTTCGTAGTAGGCTAAAGTTAATGAAATTCGTGCAAGTTGTAAACTGGTAAATTGCTCGTTTAAAGACAAATTGGATGGATACACCCACCCAGTTGGAATTCTGGAGGGTATTAGGGACAATGTTAAAAATTTTGGCAATTTTTATTTCCACACGAAAAAAGTCAAAAAAAATTCCAAAATTAAAGGCTTTTATCCATGCTTTTTGAGAAATTTTGGAGGTTTAGGGGCACGGTGTCAAAAAGCCTTGAGATTTTTGGGAATACATTTCGGGGTCATATAATGCTATTTGGAACCATAAATGATCATTATATGTTGTCATAAATGTTCGAGGTAGGCTTGAGTTAATTAAATCGGTGCAAGTTGTAAATTGGTAAATTGGCCGTTTAAAGGCAAATAGGATGGTTCCACCCAGCCAATTGGACTCCCAGAGGGTATTTGGGACCATGGTAAACATTTCGTCATTTTTTATTTTCAGGCAAAAAAAAGTCAAAAAATTCCAAAATTGAATGCTATATCCACGATTTTTGAGAAATTTTGTAGGTTTTAGGGCCCGGTGTCGAAAAGACTCGAGATTTTAGGAGATACATCTCAGACTCATATAATTCCATTTGGAACCATATATATGATCAATATATGTTGTCATAAATGTTCGTGGTAGGCTTGATTTAATGAAATAAGTACAAGTATTAAACCGGTAAATTGGTCGTTTAAAGGCAAAATGGATTGTTACACCCACCCAATTGGACTACCGGAGGGTATTCGGGACCATGGTAAAGATTTCGTCAATTTTAATTTTCGGGTGAAAAAAGTTAAAAAATTTCAAAATTGAAGGCTATTATCCATACTTTTTGAGAAATTTTGGAGGTTTTGGAGTCCGGTACGGTGTCGAAAAGGCTTGAAATTTTAGAGGATATATCTCGAGGTCATATAATGCCGTTTGAAACCATATATGATCATTATATGTTGTCAAAAATTTTCGTGGTAGGCTTGAAATAATGAAATCGGTCCAAGTTGTAAATTAGTCGTTTAAAGGCAAATTGGATGGTTCCACACATCCAATTGAACTCCTAGAAGGTTTCGGGGCCTGGTGTCAAAAGTCTCGAAATTTAAGGGATATATATCTTGGGTTCATATAATGAATGACGTTTGAAACCATATATGATCATTATTTGTTGTTATAAATGTTCATGGTAAGCTTGAGTTAAAAAAATCGGTGCAAGTTGTAACCGGTAAATTGGCCGTTTAAAGGTAAATTGTACGGTTCCAACAACCCAATTGGACTCCCGGAGGGTAATAGGGACTATGGTAAATATTTCGGCAATTTTTTCTTTCCTGGAGAAAAAAAGTCAAAAAATTCCAAATTAAAGGCTAATATCCACTTTTTTTAGTATTTTGGAGGTTTTGGGACCCGGTGTCGAAAAGTTTTGAAATTCTAGGAGATACATCTCGATGTCATATAATGCTGTTTGGAACCATATATGATGATTATTTGTTGCTATAAATGTTTGTGGTAGGCTTGATTTAATGAAATCGGTGCAAGTTATAAACCGGTAAATTGGTCGTTTAAAGGTAAATTGGATAGTTTCACCACCCAATGGGACTCCCGGATGTT